GAATAAATAAATAAATAAATAAATAAATAAATGCACGAATAATTTGAATACAGATGAATTTAAGTCGAGGAAATTTTCTAAGGAAATGGTTACTCGTATTTAAAAAATATTCGAAATTTTTCGTACTTTTCGTTATTTTTCGTTACTTAGAGTCCCTTTAAATTTTGCGAATAGAGAGGATAACCGTTACTTTTTGTCGAAGTACGTTTTTAAAACGTTAAGCATACCCCATGCTTCTCGAGTACAATCTATTCAATATGTCCCAAGATATTAATCCGTCCGAAATTGATACGAGAATGTAAATATCTGCACACGAACGGATGCAAAGGACGCAAGAAACTTCAATTTATACGGAAACTGGTCCGCGTTGTTTCCGCCCTCTCTCCCTCTCTCTTTCTCTCGATTTAGATACCGGGAAACTAGGTCTCCGACATTAGCTATATTGCCTTCTTATCGCGAAGACAAGTGAAATCCCCGAAGGAGAGAGTGCAATGTGCAGCCGCATGAATCCTAGCTGCAGTCCTTTGAGAAAATTTTATACAACTCGTGTCGTTCCGCCGGTGCTTCCGGTTTTCCACTTTCAGCTATTGTACCTTCCACCCTGTCGATACGCCCGTAATCCCCTCCATCTACATGCATTCGATCCTCCCTTTAAATCGGAACGTTTGATCTCGCCGACCAAAGTGTCGCGACGCGTGGATGGGAAACTTGGCGGATAGTTCAACTCGATAACGAGGTGCTTTCTCGTGAAGCGAGCTTTCTCACGAAAAATATCACGTAAAAATTGTACCTTGACTCGTAGAAAGGACAGACACCTATACACTCTGCCTGTGAAAGGGAGCACCTGGAAGCGGTGGAAGTTCTGATAGGACTGGGAGCCAACGTGGATGCTCAAGACAACGAAGGGAACACCCTTCTGCACATAGCCACGAGGACGAGGCACACGGCCATAGCTGAATTACTATTAAGAGCCGGAGCGAACACCGAGTTAACCGACGAAGTAAATAACGCTAAGTAAATAACGCAAACGTTATCGAGTAACAAATATGCTCGGTGCATTTTGCAGATGGGCTTCACGCCGCTCCATGTAGCTGCCAGTCAGGGTTGCAAAGGGATACTGGACTCGATGATTCAACATGGCGCAGCACTCAACAAACAGTGCAAGGTACACTTAAGGTACGTGTAATCGGAATCGAATAACTATCCATCACCGGGAATCGGTTTGCAGTATGGGAACACGCCTTTGCACTTGGCCTGTCAAAACAACGAAGTAGAAACGGTCGAGATATTGCTGAACAAAGGTGTCGATTTAAATTGCCTCAACTCGGTGCGTACGACAATGTTCATACGAGTTATACAATTTCTACGCTTTTGCCCCTAACACGATTCGCTGAAATATATTCCAGAGACTACAGTCGCCGATTCACATCGTCGCGGAAATGGGGCACAAGGAGATCTGCGAGATGCTGCTGGCCGCGGGTGCGAATATCGAGCAGAGAGAACAGGTGAATTATATTTCTCCGGTTTCCTTCCCTATTTGTCTTTCAAATCGAACCACTCTGTCTGGTGGGAAACGTATATTCTCCGAGTTCGAGCCGCGGTACCAGTTACAGTGGTAAAATCAACGTTGTCGAGCGAAAGCTCAGCCAGTTGCACACGTGTGTCGCGGTTTTACCGCTCTCAGACCACGAACGTTGAATCAGAACTAGTCGCCGACGTGCTGTAATAGCAATGGACACCGTTTTCGCTGCGACGCATGAAACTGGGCTTACAGAGGCATACCGCAGCTATTCCACCGGGAATATTCGTCACAACGGCGTCTCGCCGCGATCGAACGCAATCAAAGTAGGCGTCTCTTTGTACCGTGTATGTTAACCCCGGCTTAACACGAATGCGACGAGCTGACACGGTCAACAAGGCTGCCTTTCCGCCCAAAGTTTGCACGCAGAGAGCGGTGTGCACGATATCCCTGGCACGAAATTCGCGAGAACACCAACTCGAGAGCGTAGCCGCGGCTGGCGTCTATGCATTCGCTGATAATGTTGAAACAAAGTTGTCGAAATGTTCGCAGAGCGGCAGAAGACCTCTTTACATAGCGGCGAGGGGTAGTTTCACGGCCATCGTCGACATGATAATTAAAACGGCGAGATTGGACTACCCGACACCGGTACGTGGCAGCTTAAACCTTTTACCAAGACGTAAACCTGCTGGGATATTACGTTCCCTGCACTCGTAGTTCTTAATGATCGTTCCGCGAAAATTTTGCAAGCTTAACGAGGGGTGAAATTTTGCGCGAAGAGCGGACAGTCGCTTCGAAATAACAGGAAAGAATCTTTCCAGGAGGACTCGACGTCCGACAAAGAAATACGTGATCTGACGCCGGCTAGGAGAAGATGGCGCGAGGGATCAAGGGGTGGAAGTATATCCAGTAACAATAGCGCCTTTTCGGAGCACATTCGATCGATCCTGTGGAAGCTGGCGTACAAACAGTTGGGCCCCGAGGATTGGAAGAAATTGGCGTTGCACTGGGCGTTTACACACGATCAGATTCAGGCGATTGAACATCAGTATACCGGTAAAATGATTATTTATACCTATCTTGCGAAGTAATCTGATATCGGTAACTACAAATGGTCATCGAGGTACAAAATAAAATTCACAGAGAGTAATTGTCGAATGGCTATTTTACTATTCGAGATACTTTGTTCCTCGATGATTCTCGATCCCCAATTTACCTCGTAAAACGAGAGCAGACTCGATGAAAAAGACGATAAAGCTCCTCTCATAGGTCCTTCGAGTTACAAAGAGCACGGTTACCGGATGCTGATGATCTGGGCGTCAGGATTGAATCCCGAGGCCTCTGTGGGCAAAGAACTTTGCGATGCTCTGACTGCAGTGGACAAAAAGTCCGTCGCTGGTGAGAAATTCCTCGTAAAAGTTCTAGCGTATTAAAATAGTGATAAAATGGCGGAAGAAATGGACTATTTTTTCGAATAATTATTGCAGAATCCGTTCGGAAGCACGTGGATCAAGAGAAAGATGGGAAAACGAAGTTGAACAAACAGCGATGTCACAAATGTTCGATAACTTAAGCGTAGTATAACTTATGGTTCTGTTGGTATCGAAGGAAAATTGCGAGAAACAGAGATGGAAGAAATTCTAAGGATCCTCTGAGTAGAGAATTTTAGCGACACTCGCTACGAGATATATTTCTAGATACGCTGGTTTTACCTTTTTTACGGTATGTTTCGATATAGAAACGAGTTTCACGGTAAAATTGCACAAACGCGAGGGCGAATCAACGAAACGAGTTGCACGAATCAACGAAAGCATTCGACATATCGCGAAACCTGATTTGAATCTTTGAATTGGAACGGGAAATCGAGTCATCGCGCAAATGTACAAATTTTCAAGTCTGAATACTTTACGTAAATTCACCGTTCGTGTGTACTTTTGAGGAATTCCCATCTTCGAAAGCGTTGCGACTTTCATTCTTGCTTCTTTGGTTGGAAAAAAAGAAAATGATCGACGTATGAAGCCGTCCTATTTCATTTTACTTTTCGTTTAATACTCATCCCGCTGTTCGGAAATCGTATAATGTCGCTCCAAGTTTCAACTGTAAATACATAAATGTAATACGTACACATCCTAGAGTAAGTGCGAGAAGGAAAGAAATTTTACAGGGCTTTCGATGTGATAAAAGAAAGACGTAGAGATTAGGCAAAGAGAAGACGTGTCTCGAAACTTTCAATCATTGTACAATTCGAGAAAGACAATCTACATATCTGAATATCGTGTACAATTAAATAAACGCGTAATTAACAGTCTATAGATATTTTTAAATAGCCGTATCCCATTTAATCATCGGCGACATTAACGTACTCAAAACTATCGATTAAAAACGAAATCTAATTTGTGCCTCTCGATGAGTGTCGAATTGAGCAATTACAATTTCAATTCCTAAGAATCTATCAAATCACGTACTTGATCTCAATGTAATAAATTTATTCCGTCTATACAAATTCTTGCGACTACTTATTTATCACATTAACCGTTATTATATGAAACCTTTAAAAAGAGAAAAAAAAGAAAAGGAGTGTGTGTAAATAAAAGAATCTTACCTTGAACCAGCCATTGGTGGAACCAACTATCTTGATAATGGTAACTTGACACAGCGAAGGATCAACGGAAGGGTGGTGGTGGTGGTGTAGTGGTGGTGATGGTGGTGGTGATGGTGGTGGCAGGATAAGGATCAGGAGTACCCTAAACAGAGTGTTCTATTAAAATGTGAATATTTATTAATCCATACGGAATATTCATTTGCTTCTATGCTATAAAAGAATGCATTTGTTGCTGCTTCCATCTTCGCAATATATAACAAAATATTATGAATGATATCTATGTCATCATCCTCATCATCATTACCATTATTAATATTACATCATTACTAATCCATAATAGTTATCAGCGGCGATGGCAGAAATGGGGTCCGAGTGCCGTCAACGGCAATTAATTACCATAATCGTATCGTATGGAGAATTGTACAAACCGTACGCTAAACAGTGGTATAAATTCGAGTCGCAGTTCTTAACCCCTAACATTACAAATTAACCGTTATCGACAATTAATTATTATTATTACGAGCTATACCCCGTGGCCTTCGTAGATTCACACCTTCAAATGTCAACCTTTCCGATACCTATTCATTCGACATTTTATTTTTCTTTCATTCGTACTCGAGAACACCTACGTGCGAAAAAGTGGACATGTCTCATTCCATCGCGAACAAGTACGTGCGCCGACGATCATTTGTACACTATCCTTTCCTTTTTCTCCTCCTATGTCGAAAGAAGAACCCTGACCTATCAAAGGAAACGTTCGCATTGCGTTTCCAACGTTTTCTCAACGTCCTTATTCGTAACAACTTCCAAGATGTACGAAAATATAGGTTCGAATTACAGCTAGTTCCGTAGGCATGTACAATTAATAAATACAAATATCCACTGTTAACTGCGCGTGGGTAAATAACGAAGAATACTTATTTTTAGCTCATTTACAAGTTACACATTATTCTAAACATGGACAAAGCCACTCTGGCTCGCATAAAACGCGTGGCAGAGGTGTATTTTCCGATCGCGTTAACTCGTTTGCCTCTCTCATGCTGTGCTCTTCTTTTTCATTCTCGAACCATGAAAAAATATATATCTTCCTTTGCTCCCACTCTCTCTCTCCCTCTCTCTCTCTCTCACACGCACACTCTCACTCTCTCTCTCTCTTTCGTTATCGTAACGTACGAAACTTCGTCGACCCCGATACACGCGAATAATGATCACCGAATTCCACAAGGGGTAGGTTTCGTTCGTTCGATATATATATAAATATATATTTATACAATATATGTACTTGTATAATCCGAAAGAACTCTCGAAGCGAAAGAAAAAAGAGGGTTCCAAGTAATACGCAAACTAATATACAACAGACAGGACAAATGAAAAAGTACAGGTGCAAAACGCAAAAGAAAAAAAAGGAAAAAAAAAAGAAACAAAAATGGGAGATAAAAGATTGAATCAAGGACAAAAGACCAGCTTGATTATTTAAATTCATATGAAAAATAACCCTTAATTATCACGGCCCGTTAAGCAGCCCGTTAAACGCGCGTTTCCGGTTCTTTTACCTCAAGTCCACAAGCCTCGCGTCATCCAGTTAGAAAAATGAACAGGACGTCTAGGAAATAAACTTCCTACGGCAGAAATTGAAAAAAACAAAGGATTAGGTTTCTTGTCGACTGATAAAACGATTTTTTTTTTTTTATTGTCGGTCACGACTACTAAATTAAAAAAAAAAAAAAAAAAAAAGGAGAAAAGAATCAAAGAATGAACTTGTTGCCCGTGCTTGATTATCTATCGAGTGATTTCGTCGCGGGATAATTAAAAGCACGTTAGCCATAGTTTATAATTTTGTCACTGGTTCGAGGTACATTTCCTTCCACCGCTGTAACGTCCTCTATACCTAATCAAATAAAGGTGGGAGGAAAATGAAAAAAGAGAACGGAGTGAAAAAAGAAAACTGATAAGTCACGTTTCCGAAGTACTTGATCGCTGCTTGTCGTTAATCGTAGATCACGAAGACTTCGATGGGTCGATACGTGGAATACACTTAAATCTAAAGCTCACATTAACGCTCTTCGTTTTGGACGAACAAATTAACGACTAACACGTTGATAACTTATCTTCCTAGGGTTTAAAAGTACCTCTCGCTTAAGTTTTACCTCATCGTCGAGAGTTTCCTCGGCCCATTTCCCTTATTAAAAGGAAAAAGCGGACTCTCGATCGATCTGACGGAAAATCGTGCGTGGATTTTCCATCGGGAAAGAAAAGTGGAAGAAACAGTAACTGATTCGACAGATCGGTCGACACAGCCTAGCCAAAAATGATCCTGTCAATTTGTAGGCTTCTTATCGAGTGATCTTACAAGTAGAGTCTATTTTCTAAAACCAAGTCGAAATACTGCAACGCGAACTCGCCGAAGACTATCCTCCTGACGTCGAGTTGCCCACTGATAGCGTAGAGAAATCGGTTCCTAGCGCCATTTTGCTATGCACCGGCGTGTACCTCGTCTTCTTCCTCGTAATGATCTCTCGTGACAACTTTCGAGAAGTTCTATCCTCCTGGTCCAGGTGTATTCGTTTCCTCAAACGTCTCCAAAAGTTGTGACTTCCTGCTATTAATCCCAAAAACTTTCCCGTTGCTCTTTCGACTCGAAGTGGAAAGGAAGGAGCAAAAATAACGATCGCTTTGTGCTTCGGTGTGTGTTCGCGAAAAGGAGAAAAGAAGAAAGAGAAAAAAGGAAAGATAAAATAAAATGGAAACTTTCGCGTGTCGTTACACCGTAATTTCTCTCAAACAATTCGTGAGAAGTCTCGTCCGTATAAAATAAAAAGGAAAGAAAAAAAAAAAATGAAAAAAGCGAAACGTACAAAAATGATCTTTGTCTCTTCAGCTCTGCTATAGCGGCCGTCGTCACGCGTACTCACGCATACACGCACACAGAAACGGAGAGTAAAATGCAGACAGGTGTTCCCGTGTTATATGCGAGTGTAGTGCAAGCGCAACATGTACGACGTAGCAATCGATGGATGATTAAGAAGGGAAGAAGCGAAACCTCGCGATTCCGCGAGAACTCGATTCGTTCGAGCGCATCCCTAGCGACGGTAAGGATGATAATTGTTGGAGCTGGACGAGGATCCCGTGTACCCCCTTTGGGGTCCACCGCCACTGTAGTTGTCGTTGGTTCCTGGGGCAGCAGGAACGCTTCCTGGTCTTGAAGGTCCGTATTCGGTGCCTGTTAGAATCGTATAAAAGAACGTAGTACTGTGTGCCAGGACGCGGCCCAGGAAGAGAGTGGTAGAGAAAGAGCAGTGACGCGTGTAATCGCGGACGATTGGGTCAGCGGGTCGCTGAGCACACGGGGATGATCGAAGAGATTGACACGGTGGAACTAGCGGAACGGACTATGGCAAACCGGCAATGATCGAGGGGTCCTCTCGTCAACCTCTTCGATGATCAGTCGCTGGAGTTTCTTGCGATTTTCGCACGGAACAACGGCGAATTCCGAGGCCACGCTGCGATGAAGGAGAATTCTAGGTCACCGTGACGAAATAATATTGCGGATTAAAGAAGAGGCGGCGCGTTAATGGAAAGGATCGACCCCCGAATTAATTGAATTCGATCCGGGTTAATTGAATTCGATCAGCGGCGCGCGCGAGAACCTTAAAGTAACTGAAATCTTCCGTTAAGTTCCGAGAATACATTTTATATAAAACTTGTAAAAAGAAAAAGGAATAACGTACTAATATCGATATAGTAGAATTATACTAGCGCTAAATATATAGTAGAAAAAAATGAGCAGAAAATGATCAGATCGTGCGACAAAGAAATAAATCGTATCAAAAATGTCTCGTAACGTGCAAGTAGGAAAAGCTTATATTACGTCCTTAATCATCTTAATCGTATAGTGCTTACCGACTAAACACCGCCGACTTAAATGTACGAGATAAAACCAAGAAGTTATACCATGCTCGTATTTCTCACCCGACTCTCTCACTCTCTCTCTCTCTCTCTCTCTCTGTCTTTCTGCCTCTCTCTCCCTCTCTTTCTCTCTTACAATTTTCAGTACAAAGTTTATTTCTTCTATCGCGGCCTTAATAATTAGTATAAAAGTACTTAGTACTATGTATCACGAGCGTCGAGCAACTTCGAGGCTAATAAAGGAAGTTCGCGATCGAGTTTAAACGGAGACCCGAGGGAGTCTCTCGACCTGCTATACACACGTACACGAATTTTAGCGCGTGCTTCCGGTTCTGAACAGCGCTCGAACGCAAAGTGCGCAGTTTAATGGAATTTAATCCGGTTTGGACACGACACGAGAAACGAATTAACATTATCTAAATCTCGAAACGAGTTATACGCTTTTAAATCCGAGCACACCGGAGAACCCCGATGCTAAATATCAATTGGAATTTCGCAGCATGCTAGTATAGCTTCTTAAATAAATCTACAAATCATCGATATATATCGCGATGCCACTCTCCGTGTCAGATCTACGTGCACAAGTTAAAAAAAGAAAAAGGAGGAAAAGCTTAGACATTACAAATCTAAAGTGGTCCCGTGGTAAAATTTAACGTTATAAGTAACTTAATAATGGATCTAAGTGGTAGGCCTTAAGTAATCTTAATTTTTAAAAGGACGCATGCTTACACGCCGTCACTTGCACGTAACTTATATAAATCCTTAATAGATAAATCGTCTTACGGGCTATTTACGAATCATCGTTCAGCTGAACGACCAAAAAGTCACCACTATAAAAACAATTTTCCTTAATAATGTATCAAAACATGGACGTGAATTCAGGCATAGGGAAGCAAAGAGGATGATGGCCAGCTTCGAAAACGATCGACTGCCTTCCCATGGAAATCTATCACCGTTTTTCCTTTCACCTTTATTCCTCCATCACAGCGCCGCCAATCTCTCTCTTCTCTATTCTCTTAAATATATTTTTTCCCGTTTTTCTTTTTTTTTTTCGTTTTTTCCCTTTTTTCTAAGAACCTAGAGGCTTGATCTGAATATTTGCTAGGCCCTTTCGTCATTTCTTAGCGCCTATAAGGGTGATAATTCGTGTGCTGGGTTAAGGAGAATCGTTGGGGACCTGGGGCTGCGTCTCCGTTCGGAATGAAGGTCGGACTTCCAGTTTCGGTGTTTTTGAACTTTGGGATCGGGGTGTTGTCTGCGGGAAATAAAGGAGGAAATTAGGTAGTGCGGGCCACCCCGAGAACACGCCCTTCGTCGAGCGTGAAATTGCGAATCGAGAGTGACGCAGCAACGCGAGAGCATGAATGGGAATTTCGACGATCTCGTGTACCACGATGGTAAACGCTTTCTCTATTTTCGTAAACTTAAAAGGCAAAGGATGTAGAAAGAAGAATAAGTATCGAAATGAATACGAGGATACTAAAGGGGCGAGTTACTGAATTTTGAACGTTTCGTTTGTCTCTGAAAAGAGCAAATGTATACGCGTTCAGATAAATTCATCCGTTAACGACCGAATAGAAACCTGATTGGCGAAAAGACACTTGGCCCCTGAAGTATCGAGGAACACCAAGTTACCTCGAACCTGAGCATCGTCGAATGATCTAATTTCGTAAGATTTGCGACACGCTATAGGATTACGAGTCACTGCGCGATTAATCTGCCAAATGTGTTTTCTATCTCAGTTTCGAGGAGGTGTGGTGAACATGTAGGGAGACGCGCATAAAACACTGCACCAATGGAAAAAGCTCGTCTCCACCGTTCCCGCAACGACGTCGACGGTGTGAAAGAAGAGTGTAAAAAAAGAAAGAAAAAATTCTTTGAAACAGTGGACCACCTCTGTTATTCCATCCTAGACAATAAAGATATTTAAGTTCACGTTGGAATCGTAACTAAAAAAAAAAAAAAAAAAAAAAAAAAGAAAGGAGAAGGAAAAAATTCGCTCGCAGAGAGAAGTAAATGAAACCGAAGAGGAACCAGTAAACCGAGATTCGCGAATTTTTGCGAACGAAATGATTTGGAGAACGGAAACAGTTTCGCGTGCTCTTTTGGAACTGATTGCAAAACAGAAGCGACAAAAAGAAAGTAGAAGGAACTAGTCTACAATTATCGACCAACAACTGTTTGAGCGAACGACAGGAAGGCGTGGCTACCGAAACAATTACGCGAAAAAGGAACTCTCTCTTCGCGCGCACTCGCATGCTCGCTTTCATTCGCACACCCACTCGTGCATCAAATGTTTCTCGTGTGACTTTTCTGATGAACTAAAAAAAAAAAGGAAAAAAAGAAAAAAACGAAGAAAAAACATTGCGATTCATTAGAGTTACACACATACCTCTTACACAATTGCTTCGTATTTATTTAGAAAAAAAGAAAAAATAAATAAATGAATGAAATAAAAAGAAAGGAAAGAAAGAAACAGAAAACAAAGGAAAACGAGAAATATCTACTGGTAATAAATTAAATGTGCAGTGTTTTAAGTCAACCGTTTGGATAAAATAAAAGCTATGAAATGAATTGCTCGATGCGAGAATTAATTTCAAACGATGGGAAAGATTGTTTGGTATTCGATTGACAAGATTCGTTTGTTTGTTTTTTTTTTTTTTTTTTTTTTT